GCGTTTGGATCGGGGGACAATGACAAAGGCAACCGCATGATTCGCTGCATTTCGGCCAGTGGTGAAACGAATGCTTCGCTGTGTTCGGACCAGTGGTTAAAAGAGTGTTTTCTTGTTTCAACCAGTGTTAAACACAGTAGAGGCCGTGTTTCGACCAGTAGTTAAACCCGTGCTTCGCTGCGTTTCAACCAGAGGGTAAAAGTATGATTTGCTACGTTTTGATCATAGTTTAAAAGAGAGGTTTGTTGGGATTATTTCCCTAAATACAATAATAATGAAAAGTAATCCCCAGAATACATCACTTTTATAAAGATTTCCCAAACTACCAAAGTTTGACACGGAAGGTTCTGAGCTGTGTGGTTATGGCGCGGCAGCTCGATCCTCACGCACAGGTTTGTCCGACGACGGTGTTCACGCTCAGTGATTTGTTAGCCGGTGGAGGTTGGTGGAGGAGGGTCGGCAGGAGGAAGATAATGCTGGGGTGGTAAGGTGGTATGGGACTTTTCAGTGGTGTTTGTTTACCTATTTAGTCTTACAACTTAGACAAAATAGTAAATATTTATCATACTTAGACGACAAATAGTAAGATTTGGATGAAAAATAACAATTCCCATAATAATAATTAATATCTTCCCTAAAAAGAGGTTAGTGTTTTGGAGTGAAGTCTCTTGTCACTTTAGGTGACAAAACACCTAATTTTGGGTTATTCACACAATATTTGTGTTATTTACGTCATATTTGCGTTATTTACGTAAGAGCGTTGATTATTCATGCAATCAATATTATTAGGTCACGCCACCTGATGTTTATTCACACATATTGTTAATTATTCACGTCATTGTAAAATAAAATTTTAAACTTTGAAATATATCAAAATGGATATCATTCTATAGATTATGATCAATGCAACATATTTGTGCAGATTAAATGATAATCCAAATTTAATTCCATAAACTATAGCCAATACAAATTATTAGGGGAAAAAATATGAATTTCTATTTAAGTGAAAAACTTACACTCTTACATAAATCACCATAGTATTACTTGAATGAGCATAAAATGGGGCAAGTGAGTATAAAATGGGGTGAATGAACTGGTATTAGGTGTTCTGTCACCTAACGTGACAAAGAGATATTTTCCTTATCACCCCACTGCCGCTCGAACTTTTGCTAGGGAAATGACAAGGATAACAGTACATCCCATGTCATCTGGCCCCATCCACCAACAACCTAGTTATTCTACTAACTAGAAGATTCGTTAGTATATACTAACTAATATCCAAAATGTATGAACTAATATCCAAGTCTGCTGAGTATCTAGATAGCACAGACTAGTATTCAAAACATCACAAACTAGTATCCGGATAGCATATACCAACTAATATCCACAAACAACCAACTAGTATTCAATATGGATACTCTTTTGTGTTATCTGGATACTAATTATGTGTTGTATGGATACTATTCTGTGTTGTCTAGATATTAGTTTGTGAATTTGGGATAATAGTTGATTTATGGTGGATATTAGTTAGCAAAATTTGAATACTAGTATGTGCTCTCTAGATACTTTAGTACTTGGATACTAGTTCATGTATTTTGGATATCAGTTAGTATTTGCTAACGAATCTTCAAGTTAGCAGATTAACTTTTTCCCATCCACCAATGGCAAATATCCGAATCTCATGCGGTTGCCACCTGGTAGCTGGACAACGAGAGGTAAAACAAGATGGCTTGACATGGCGGCGCAATGGAGGAAGAGCTGGGAGAGGAAAAGAGGGAGGAGACAGCGCTGACAGCAAAAGTGCAGAACCTGCATCCAGTGATTCAACACAAAGAACACAACCAAAACAAAATTGATCGGAACCTAGCAATTCACATAAAACAATTAGAGCAGGGACCCTAGAATTGAGAAGGAGAATGACACAACAAAATCCCAAATGAACCAAATCAAAAATTAACAAGAGGCAAAGACCTCCAGCCGTCCCTTAAGAGGCCACCAATTAAACAAAGCAGAACTATAAAAAGCTTAGGCCCTACTTGGAGCCAATGCTGTCAAAAGCGCGATTCTATCTAAAAGCGAAAATTGTGTAAAATCGTAAAGCGTTGAATTAAAGCGTAAATGCGTAAGTTTTTTATGCATCTTGTATAATAGCTAAAAATCTATTAAGTAAGGCTTGTACTATATAAAATATGAGTTGATAGAGCTTAGATAAGTGAATATATACCTGTAGTTCATTTCTAAAGTAAATCAAACTCATAACATCTTAACAAAGTTCACAAACAAGTTCAGAATCCAAATTCTCACAAGCTATTTTAAGTTTACACGATTACATGCGAGTTTAATAATCCAAGTTAGCGAAATCAAAAAATCACACAAAATGTTATAAATGATAGAAGGAATTTATACTATACTACAATTTATCATTATCGCTTGTCCGATTGTTAGTTATCATAGATCTGTCAAACAAAAAGTCGTACCTTATACTATAATTCACATATATTATTTATGTTTAGCAAATTTTATTGATAAATCAATCAATTGGCTTTACCTCATGTTTGATTTTATTTTACCCAATCCTATTAATCACTCAAGCAAATTTTCTTGGCAATGTCATTTATTTGATGCATGTAGTATCCCAACCAATAGTTTATTTGATGATTACTGAAAGTTTTCTTTGTATTCTTCTGTTTTGGCTATGTGCAGAGTGGGTAAAGAACAAAGAGGAAGAGGCAATAGCGTTTTGTACTTTAGTCGGGTGGGTGAAAAGAAGAGCTTTGAATTGAGGATTATGGTGACGAATCGAGCGACGCGGAGGAGAATTTCAGAGGCGGGTATGGGTTTGGCGGCAGCGGTGGCAGATGCTTCTTCGTCTATTGACAAGGATTGCAGTGGGCGGTGGGCGACGGCAAGCGGCAACTTCAGTTTGTCCTTGTCTGTTGAGAAATGAGAAGGGGATGTATAATTAGGGATGGGAACGGGAGTGGTAGACAACCCGATTTCACCCCTCCTTTTTTAACATAATAAAACATCGTCATTTTGATGGATTTGTGACTTTTTTGTCCATTGTTTGAAATCGTATAAAAACGGTTCGAAAACGCAATTTTATCAATTTTCACCTATTTTAACGATTCTACTTACACTTTTGACTACTTTTGAGTGCAAAACGATTTTATGAGTGAATTGAAACGTTTTACTACCTTAAAAATGTAAAAAGTATGATTTTACAGTTTAAAGCGCGATTTTGACTGCATTGCTTGGAGCCACCAATTAAGCAATTCAAAGTCCCTAAAAGCGACATCAAGGAGGGAGACACATCACCAAACGGAGAGAGGGCAGCGGGGAAAGTGATGATGATTGGTGGTTGTGGATGCCCTAGAGACCGCTTGAAACGGTGAGGTGGAGCGGCAGTTTACTGTGCCCGGAGGTGGAGTGAACAGAACTGAAGAATCGGATTACTCTGAAAGGAACTAGGAGCGGGCATCTGAGTTGTTGTTGTTGTTGCTGTTGGATGGGGACCGAAGTGAGCTTGACAGCAGCTGGAGGCCGGCGATTGATGTCCCAGAAATCGTTGACGGAGAAGGAAAAGCAGAGAATCTTTGGAAGAGAGAGGGAGAGAGAGAGAATTTTGCTTGTTCGAAAACAGTGTGGATATCTGCATCTGCCTCATTAGTAGGGGTGGGCGTTCGGTCGGTTCGGTTTGAACCGAACCGAACTAGTATACCCCGATTTTCCGAATCACAGCATCCCTCAACCGAATTCGAACCGAAATATAATTCGGTTCGGTTCGGACGAACCTAATTATATCTCGGTTCGGTTCGTCCGAACTGAATTATATCTCGGTTCAGTTCGGCCGAACCGAATTATATCTCGGTGCGGTTCGAAATTTCACCACATCCGAACTTGTTAGCTTCCCAGAGAGAACCCATATGAGATGAGGGCCAGGGGATTATTCTTTTTCTTTTCTCACTCTCTCTGTCTCTCCCACCAAACAAGCTTCTCCACCCTTTTCTTCTTTACCTATTTCTGACTCTCTCGCCCAGCAAAAAGGCAAATTAGTTTTCCCCAATCCTCATTGATCCTTCCAGCAAACAACCTTCACCAAACAAATTTCCCCTATCTTCTTCTTCTTTACCTTCTCTCTCGCCCCAGCAAACAAGATTTCAGTGTGTGTGTATGAAGGCGGCAGCGACAGGAGGGTTGAACCTCCAATCCCACTGACGTGCGACGACAACGAGCTGGGTCCGCTCACAATCGAAGATTAATTTGAGAGCGCTGATGAAGGAAATAGTATTATAATCGGGTAAACCATTTTCGACATGCATGTAGGTTTCTCGATTGATTTTCGATACTGATTTGATGCATGTGTATTTTTATGTTTGGATTTGGGTTTCTTGTCTCAGGGAGGAGAATAGAGCGGAGAGAGAGAAAGGGTCTCGACCTTCAGTGGTCGGCGAGGAGAAAAGAACAGAGATCAGGGGTGATTCTATGACGTCTTTCAATCAGGAGGGTTCGGCGGCACCTTTGAGTGATCCTTGATGGGCAGCGGTGGCGGAGGCGGTCAGGCGGCGACTAGGGATGGATTTTACTTAGGGTTAGGTTAGCACTAGCAGAAGACATGGAGGGGTGGGCTGTAAGAAATTTAATTTTGGGCTATGCTTGGTTTAAGTTGTTAGAGGGTTGGGCTTTGTGAGAGGCTTCAGTAGTCAAGTTCGGCTGTAGGATTGTGGGTTTAAGTTTCATATCGGTGTCTCGGTTCGGCTAATCCGAATTCGAGTTCGATCTGTGTACACTGGTTTCCGAACTATGACCTTTTGACTTCCGAACCGAAAAGTAATATTTTGGTTTTGGTTCGGTATAGTTTGATTTCGGGTCGGTTCGGTTCGGGTTTACCGAACCGCATGCCCACCCCTACTCATTAGTCATGACGTAAAAGGAGCCCAGCCTGATTTATGTGAGCAACTTATTGGGCCTAGCCCGACCGAACCCTACTCCAGACTTCACACACACACGGGGATAAAAGAAAAGGCAGAAAATGAACCGAAAACGAATTATACCAAGAACACGCAAAGCAGACGTGACCGGAGCGGAGCGGGAGCTGAAATGGGGAGGATACCACCATCATTACGTTCAGCAGTATCAACGTCACTGATCAAAAGGGCTCCAGATTCTCAACCCCTTTCCGATCAACCCCGTCAGTTCCTCCACAAACCCATCAAACGGAAGCCGGCCAAGGTTTCCGCGGCAGAGCAAGAATCCGGCCGGCTTCAGCAGAAACCCCTGCTAAAGTCCCCGGATCTCAATGACGCCAAGAAGCTCTTCAATTCCCTCGTCGCCGCCGCCCGCGCCCCACTCGAGGTTCGCTTCAACAACGCTTTCCTACAGTCCTACGCCGCCATCTCCACTCCGGACAATTCAATCTCTCTGCTCCACCACATGTCCAAAACCCTACCTTCCTTCTCCCCCGACCGCTCCACCTTCCACCTCTTGCTCCCTCACTGCTGTGCTTCGCCGGAATCCTCCCGCTCCCTCTCCGCCGTCCGCCAGACTCTCAATCTAATGGTCAACAAGGGTTTCGACCCTAATCAAGTGACTGTCGACATTGCGGTTCGGTCTCTCTGTTCCGCCGGGCACGTCGACGAGGCAGTGGAATTGGTGAAGGAAATGGCCTTAAAGCACTGTAAGCCTGATACATATACTTACAATTTTCTGGTCAAGTCCCTTTGCAAGACCAGGGTTTTGAGCTCCGTATACGGGTTTATTGACGAATTCAAAACTTCCTTTGATGTGGAACCTGATCTCATTACATACACTATATTGATTGATAACGTCTGTAACTCTAGGAATCTTAGAGAGGCCACACGGTTGGTGAGTGTGCTTAAGGAATGTGGGAATAAACCGGATTGTTATGTGTACAATACCATTATGAAAGGGTACTGTATGCTGAGTAAAGGGAGTGAGGCTATTGGGATTTACAAGCAAATGAAGGAGGACGGTGTGGAGCCTGATATGGTTACGTATAATACCTTGATTTTCGGGTTGTCTAAATCTGGAAGAGTCAGTGACGCTAGGAAGTATTTGAAAGTCATGGTGGACAACGGTTATCTGCCCGATGCTGTCACCTATACCTCGTTGATGAATGGTTTGTGCAGAGAAGGGAATGTGATGGGTGCAGTGGAATTGTTGGAGGAGATGAAAGTGAAAAACTGTGAACCGAATTCATGCACATACAATACTTTGCTTCACGGGTTGTGCAAGGGGAGGATGTTGGAGAAAGGGATTGAGCTGTATGGGTTGATGAAACAGGTTGGCATGCAGATTGAAACAGCTTCTTATGCCACATTCGTGAGGGCACTTTGTAGGGAAGGTAGGGTGGCGGAGGCTTATGAGGTGTTTGATTATGCAGTAGAGAGTAGGAGTTTGACTGATGTAGCTGCATATACTACATTGGAGAGTACGTTGAAGTGGCTGGTGAAAGCTAGACAGCAAGGCCTAGCTGTTTAATGGTATTGTATTTTGCCTTCAACATTCAGAGTTCAATTAGCTGACAACTTCTTGTGCGCCTGTGCTTTATGAGGCTATGATAGACCCTTTTTTAGCAGAGATGGTGGCACTAAGAGATGCAATGTGATGCGCCTTAGCTAGAGGGGTGCAACAAGTGACGTTTGAAGGGGATACGAAGGTTGTGCTAGACAAAGTGGCATCGGGCATTGTCAATGATGCTCCGGGAGCACGATCTTGGAAGAATCTTATCCCTCAAACCTGTTTTCATTCTTTCAATGTTAAGTTTATTGGTCTGTCTTCTAATAGGGTGGTCCACTTGGTGACAAAAAAACCCTCTATATGTACCCTATTCTTGTGGGATTTTATTTTTGTTTGTGGCTAGTATCAGTCACTTGACTATTGTGTATCTACCTTTTTCCTCGATAATACGTGTAATCTTTTGACACAAAAAAAAAAAGACTTGTACTGATTTTTAACTACATTTTTTTTTTTTTTAGAAAATGGAGGCAGCAAGTGCCAGGAAGAAAACAGACAGAATACTAATTATCAAGCAACCTGATTCAACCCCGCAATAAGTTGGATTATCAAGCAACCTGATCCAACTCGATAGTAAGTGTGGGTGGGTGACAAGTGACAACTGAAAAATTATCAATCAACCTGATTCAACCCCGCAATAAGTTGGAATGGGTGATAGATGGTGATCGCTACTTCGATCGAGCTTTAAATTTATAGAGTCGAAGCGCACTTACTAGTCAATCCAAACAGGGCCATGTACAACCTACCTAGTGATGTAGTAAAGCGGCTCAGTCGTATTTCAAGGGTCACAGTATCCTAGGCTACTTAGGCTCGACCATTATCTAGTCAACTTGTTATTTTGCAGGTGGGTAGTTGACGATTCCTAAACTAAAGATCGATAGATGAGAAGAGGTACTTCGAGGAATTATCCCTCACCCTAGCCTATGGCTACTACTATGTAATGTCTAGATACTTAGGGTTTATCGAATGTGGTGAGAACTCTTTTTCGTAGGCTTTCGTGATTATCCACACACCTCCAAGTGCGTCTACCCTAGACCCATATAAGTCACCTCGATCTAGGCTATCGTATATGGGGCATTAAACTCGTAGCTCCTTTCAATGTGTACTATTCACCGTCCACACCGAGGTTTCATCCTAGGTTCTATCTAGGAAGGAACCCGATGGCAGGGGTTCGGTCGCCTCGACCACCATAGATCTCTATTCATACATCTAACCTCAATTTGCTTGATGGCTCATACCCGTCTAACCCTAAAACTCCATACCTAGCGTAGAAGCATAAAGTAGGCTAATAGAGAAGATTAGAGTGACTTACCCAAACACAATCAAAACTAGAATAGCAATATAATCAAACAGATAAACACATTCATTCATTAAACCCCTAAAATATCCATTCATTACATAATAAATCTAAAACTAGGGTTTGGCCTTAAGAAATAAGAACCCCTAGTACCTTGGGAGATCACCACATGAAACGGGGGGAAAAAGACATACAAAGAGCAGAAGAAATCATAAAGAAAAGGTCTTAAAGGGACGGGAATCTTCTTCCAAAAGCTATCTTCTAAATGGGGAGGACTCCCCTATTTATTGAGGTTGCGATCTTCAGGTCAAGTTCACATGTTGGAGGCAAAAGATCGCGGCTGAGATGTTTGCTCTGCAGGCTGCGATCTTGTGCTCTGGTTCATGCCCTCTCTTCATGGCTGGGATCTTGGTTCCCTCGGCTATGATGTCCTAATTTGCCCCTTTGTCTACACTTGTGCACCTATTTCGTACCTAATTCACATGTAACGTATAAAGCACCCTAAAATCACATCGAAATCAAATAGGAACAAAATAGAGATGCAATTGACACTCTTCAAACAACTATACATATGAATTGACACGAAACAAACCTTAATATGAAGGGTATATAAAACCGATTTAGGTGTTATTAGATGGAAAATTGTCAATCCATTAACATATAAGTGGGTTAATTTTATAGTCAAAATCAAGGATTGTGAAAGTATACCAGAGGTTATACCGAATAAATCGGAGTGATTGAAAATTTTGTACTAAAACTATGATAGAATCGGTGGTCAATCGTTTTCTACCACTAAAATCGTCTACCGATTTTATTCCAAAATCTAGTCTTTTTAGTCTGACCAACCGGTACAGTATGTCTTCTTAAACCCCATCCAAACCATAACCGCACAAGTCCAAAGATTGGTCATAATATGGAATTTTCCTATACTTTGTTCATTACCAAATCCAAAATCTGAATAGAACTACATGATTCATGCGTCACACTTAGAGAATGAAACATCCAAGGAAACGACAATCAACCAAAAAATGCTACAGCCTGGAAACTTAGATCTCCATTCATCTAGCCAATACTTGAGCTTCTCCAACCCAACACTCCTTTGAACGCAAAATTCGATGATTGCCATCAAAAAGCTTCTTTCGGTGGAAGTTGTGTGTTGAGCCTAGTCCACTCCGTTCACTCTAATTGTTGCAAAATGCTTCCAAATCTTTGCTTCTTCGGGATAGAATTAGAGATGGCAATTTTGACCTTAGCTGTTTTATCCAACTTGTTTGGCCTGTTTTGGGTGGATCCGACTCGCCCCGTAGGCGGGGCGAGGCGGGCATGGGTACTCTCATCGATCCGACGTGCCTTGACCCGCTCCATTCTCGACCTGTTCTTACCTAAATTACTTGTAATTTTAGTTAAATTACTTAGGATTTCCTTTTATTTAGACCTGGCAAATTATAACCCGACCCGTTGACCCGACCCGAAACCGCCAGAAAACTAGAATTTTTTGTAACCCGAAATCCGAATGACCTGAACCCGATAACCCGTGATTTTTTGGGTTGGGTTGGGTGGGTTAGCGGGTCGACCCGTTAGACTCGTTCCATTTAATATATTACTCCCAAAATATGATAAAATCATATAAATTGGTGAGATGTTTAAAAAAAAATCACAAGGATTTGAATGACATATTTGGAGTTTAAGGGTAATCAAATATCAAGTGTTTCTTGTATTAGTATTACTCTTGTGATTGTTTTTTCACGATTTGCGCAATTTATATTTCATTTCATTAGCGTGAGAGGATTTGAGAATATGTTAGTTAACATGTGTTAGGTAAACTATTGTCATGCATATGTGAAAATTTGTGTTCTTTAAGAAAATATGAAGCATGTTTGATATTTTTTCTGAGAACGCTCATAACCCGAAATGACCCGTAACCCGACCCGAAACCGAATGGGTTGGGTCAATATTTGACTCGAAATAAGCCAACCAAACATGACCCGACCCGTAACCAAAGTTTCCAACACGAAATTACCCAACCCGACCCGATTGCCAGGTCTACTTTTATTACATCATATTTTAGCTATAATAAAGTTGTAAATTAGTGAAAACCTCAATTTCTTCGATAATTTAACTAAATTTATCATAATATTGTTTGTTTTCTTGGTCTTATAAAAAAATAACGAATATTTCTAATATTTTTCATATAAATTGCATACCCATTCGGTCGACCTGTCCCGACCCGCGACCTGTGATAAATTACTGGACCTGGACCCAACCTGCCACGAGGCAAGTCTGGGTACCAAGAAACCCGCCCCGAACCTGCCCATTGCCATTCCTGATAGAACTGTATCACCAACTTTATTTAATAACCTAAGCTCAAAATTTTAATAGAAATTCATAAAAGGAAAATCCATATGTATTTTCAACGTACGAATTATCATTTTACAGGGAACAAATGGTATAACAAGAGAAATTTTACAATGCTATATAGTATTGGTGCTATAGGTTTTTGCCTTTATGGTACAACTTAAAATTGTACATTTACGTTATGGTACAACTTCATATTGTACCTATACTTTTTCTACAAATTCTTTTATGAAACAACTTGAACTTGTACTTTTATGTGATGGTACAACTTCAAGTTGTAAAGTTGTACCATAACATAATGGTACAAATTGCTTTATGGTACAACCTAAACTTATAAATTTAATGTTATGGTACAACTTTGAGTTGTACATTAAAGCACCAATGCTATATAGCATAGTAGAAGTGCTCTAACAACAAAGGTCCTCAACCAAAAGGAAGAGATTGACCAGAAAAACAGGGTAATGCACGGTGGATCTATGGCAAAAATATTAATAGGGTTCTTACCCGTCGAATACCTCAGGAACCACACAGTAATTAATATATTATTATTAGTTATTATTAGCTAGTACTTTAAAGGGTTATAGATATAATATGCCCCTTTACTTTACATTTTTCTCAAACATACCCCTTTACTATAAATCACTTCAAACTTACCCTTATACTATTAAACACTTCTCAAACACACCCTTCTAACTATTTTTCCGTCCCATTACCGTTATATCAGGTCCAACCGGATTCTGGTCAACACAATATCATGAACTGGGCGGGGTAAATAGACCATTAGCTCTAACATTATCGTTTGAACAATGACATTCACACACCCCATTCCCTCCAGTCCTAACATTATCGTTCTAATAATTGGAAATTAGAAGTACTCGTTCGAACTTCGATCCTTCTATCTTACTTTTGCAAATAAGAATCACATATTACTGTGGGCTCTCATTAGCAGCTTCAAATTGCTGCTTACAAGTATAAGTAAAAATTAGGGATTTCAATTTTTTTGTTTAGGGATTTTGTTCTAGGGGAAATTAAGTTATTTCTTCATATGTCCTGTTATCGAGAGGGTACAGGATTTAATGGCAAAATTAGAGTTTAGGAATAGAGGAATCAAACACAAAAGATAATAGAGATCTGGGCCGAGATGACATGCGGAACGGAGTGGCGGCGAAACAGAGGTTTCACAGTGGAAGAGAGTCGGGTGCAGTCGCCAATGAATCTAGGCCATAGGGCAGCGAAAGAGTGGACCTGATCGGAGAGGGCCCCCGGAGATTGACGACGATGATGCGGTGGTGGCAGCTAGTGGAAAATAAATGGTTGAATTCGGTAGAGGGGTTGGGGTCGCCGGAGGGGAGGAAATCGGTGACCGGGTTGGGGGTAGAAGCCACCGTCGGTTTGACTACGACATGATTGAGGTGGTGGCTGACAATCAAATGTAAGATGATTGAGATGGTGGAGACGATCGAAGAGGCATCAGAGTATCGGGTTTGTGGAGGGAATGAGTCAACGGGATGTGAATGAATATTGTTTGGAACGATGATCTTAGAGATAAAGAGGGAAAAATTAAATTTAACCCGCTTATTCATGATATCGGGTTGAACATAATTTGGGGAGCGGATCACCTCAGTAACCAAAGCATCAGTAACTGTCAGTAACCGCCTGATCCACCGTCCATCGCATCATCTTTTCAACCGTCAAACTACACGGGGGGGGGGGGGCAAAATAGTAATCACGCCTCTGACAATTTGAAAAGCAGACGTGACAACGACATCAACCCATCCCGCCTTCTCTCCT